AAACTCTCAATTCACAAACTTTACCTCTTTATTTTATTAGTATAGATAAAAAGTTGTTTTAAAAATATTAATTTAATATTAAATTATATTGTAATGGTCTTGAATCTTTATTGAAAACGTTTCGCTTTTGGATAGTAACCAGACGCTGGGAGTTATAACTCGCTTTGTTTTAATTAAATCGGAACACATGTTACTTCTGTAATACGAAAATTCGTTTGAATGAATAAGGATTGTACTCGTGACCTCTGCCTAAGAAAATTCGATACGACCAGTGAGAGAACAGACGCAGGGCCGACGGCTTTACGTGCTCTCTGAGTCACGGGATTGAAACACCGCCAACTTCCCAACTGTTACTGAGAATTTCTGGACAGAAAAAACAATAAATTAGCCCGAAACGGGATTAGAACCCAATCCCTCCGGATTTGCAGCCGAACATTCAAGCCAATAGACCATCGAGGCAGTTATTTTCAATAATACAAAGCTATCTAACAGAGTACTGACATTTAATAGCGTTTATAGAAACGACTGTCATCAAAAAACGATCAGATAACATAATACACAAGAGATGTTATTTTTAAAATTATGTATAATTATACATAAGTTATATAGAATAAACTAATTTTATTATTATTCGTTTATTCAATGGGGAGCCATTACAGTCATTTGATGCAATAGCAAGCAGTACACTTAATTTGATTCAATCCTTCTTGTTAATAACTTAGAAGCGTGCCGGTTATAGATAATTTACTTTTTCAATGTCACGTTGATCGGTAAAACTAATATATATCTATAATTAATCAATGTGTAGATTACAATCCATACTAATATTATAAATGTGAAAGTGTGTTTGTTTGTTTATTTGTTTGTTTGTTAGTTTGTTTGTTCGTTTGTTTGTTTGTCCTTCTTTCACGTCGAAACGGAGTGACGGATTGCCGTGATTTTTTGTGTGGAGATAGAGGGCTGGAGAGTGACATAGGCTACTTTTTACCGCGGGAGATGATTTTCTTCTCACGGGAAAACACGTTATAATACAACCCAAAAAAATATTTATGATCAGAATTACTTGAAACTAGGTATTAATGCTCTTCAATGCAATTAAATAAATACGTGTTTTAGCATTTTTCGAAATTCATCACATAAAGGGGTAAAATGAATGACGAAGGCGAAAATTCGACACGACCGGTGGGAGATCAGCGCACGTGCTATCCGAGGCACATGGGTGTGCCCCTAGCGGGACTTGAACCCGCGACCACTGGCAGCAAGTAGGGTTTTTACAAACTGAGTTAAGCGTTTCGTCCTTTACACAACTCCGGGCTGTTCTTGAAAATTTCTTCACAAAAATATCATTGATGTACTTGACCCGGTGTGCGATTTGAATCCAGATTTTGTAATATATATGTATATGTAACATAAACATAAATTGGATAAAATTATTTTAAATTGTTCGATGTATTTTTTACCTAATTGATTAGAAAAACAAACACTAAAGCATTTAACAAATTTCAATATCATTTTATTTTAGTTATTATAGATTAGATTTTCGATAGCAAAAAACTATAATCAATTTATAAATATCAAGAGTCGATTTGCGTTTAATTTTAACGTACACTCTTGCATATCTACAAGATTTTAAATTTTTGACGATACTCATACGGTGGGAGCAATGAATGAAAAATAAAAATAATATTTACATATACTAGTATATTCCCTATTGTTTTACGAAAAATGATATTTCTTGGATGGTGGACCATCCAAGGAAAATCAAGAAGTTTTACGAAATCAAAACCTAAGCGTTAGAATTTCATGTTTTTCAAGCATTTAAAATAACTATTAAACTGAAAATATATATTTTACTTTATATGTCATGTCTTTGCTATATGCGAGGATTTTTTTTAATGTTGGGAAATACATTTATGCATACCACCTGTTGACATACAGGTTGTAGAATATAAAATATGTATATAGTAAAATCACTAAAATCTAACAAAACCTCCTCCGTCTTAATGGGGCGTCGCAGGATCGCTTACGCATTCAAATACGACGCCCCGACGCGACGGCAGGTTGTCGAAGTAGACTACAACAGCCATGGGGTTGCTCTAACGATCCACTCTGCTATCAGAGAAGTACCAGGAGCAACTCGCATGGTATACCGCCCACCGAAGTGGGCCACTTCCAGTGCGTTTCTTGGCTTCATGCCCGGCTGGTTTGCGGGACGCTAACGAGACCCCCCCCCCCCAACAACGACAATGTGAACGCACGTTGGGACGGATTGATATAACAAGGCTTACCGCAACCGTTTGATTTTCGTATTATCTCGTAATAAACATGTATGATAAACATCAAAGTTAAACAAATATTTTATTTCATTGAGAAACATTTAATGAATCATCAAAGGCAATTTAAACAATATTAGAACTTTTGCTTCAAGAAAACTTTCTTTAATAAACCAAATATTACTTGGTATTAAAACGTTATATTCTCAATGATAATATTTACTTTTATTTTACTTAATATTATGAATGTTTTAGTCGAGTGATATGATTACATTATTTAAATTGTCTTTTATTAATAAAATTTGACGATTTATTAATAACATTTGACTATATACTCGTACTTACGCTTAATCTGTACATATAAATAAAATTAAAGTGTCTGTTTGTAATGTTAAGGTAACAGCTTTTTACTAAAGGCATATGAAACGGTACTTATACGAAAAACTCAATTTTGATTTTTTTTATCTTTCTGTTCGTCTGTCTGTCCGTCTGCTTGTTTTCGCTATTCTCCGAAACGGCTGGACTGATTTTGACAGAACTTTCACTAGCAGTTAGCAAATGTTATAAGGCGTAACTTTGACTACTTTAATTTTAGAGAAAGATTTAGGATTCCGCTTAAAAAAAGAAAATTCTAAGTTTAGTAGGGGATAAAAATGTAAAAAATTGTTCTCGTTACTAAGAAATGACTCGTTTAGTTTTAATGAGAGCCAGTTAGCTTGATCATTACAATTTCTTATTCTCGGATATAATTTGCAAAGGAGATTAAGAATTCAGGATAGCATACTAATATGAAACTTGTACGAAAATTCATTTCACAGTCTATGAACTTCTTAAGGACTTTCCTCTAACAAAACAGTAAGTAGTAAACATTTACATGGTAATTAGAATGTTTTAAAGTCAGGGAGAAGGAAAGGTAAAGGATTGAAGTTAGTTTGAAAATGTTATAATTAGCAAAACAAATTGTATGGGTTTATTGTGACCACAAAGTTTACGATAACCTAACTACAATGTTTATCCAAAAGGAAATAATAAACTTTCTAAAGTAAATAGATAATTCAATTAAATTACACTTTATTGTACACCAAGAAAAAGATACAAACAAAGACAATAACAAACATAAATTAAGTTACCTATAGTGGTTAATTATTCCCTCCACGATCGCGGACACGCTGGCGTGTCAATTAACAATAGATTTCTTAGAATTTTAATTAATTTCTTAGAAATTTACCTGGAGGTGATATAATACTAGTGCTATATATTTTTAACAAAAATTATCGTCTTTTAACTAACGACTCACCCTCGCTCCGCTCAGGTTTGTTCCTAGGTACGTTTTAACGGTCAGTATAGATTTCTCAGAGATGAGATATTTTCCCGCAGTAAAAAGTTCCCCGATAACCAGCCATCGTCATACCAAACTTCATTAAAATCTGTCCAGTGGTTTTCTTGAGATGTGAAAGACAGACAGATAAACAGATAATAATTCTAGAAACTATAAATTCGGCCTCTGTATCGATAATAATGACTATTTCAATAAGATTTTCCAAGAAATATTTAATGTCCAGATTTGACTCAGTTAGAATTTTATTATATGTATAGATTAAACCAGTATTTGCACGTCTGTCTGTCATTCAATGAATAGAAGATGGGGATAAAATGATGTAGCTTATATTCTTCGTTATAAACGGTTCTCTAAGAGCTAACATACATCAAGAAGGGTTGAAACACTGAGATGCTAAGTAATAATTAAGCAAATTATCGTATTTTTGAGAATAATTCAAAAAACAATACGTAGATAGAGAGTAAGGGTCTATACACACAATGACTTTTGACGTGCGTTTGTATCGAAGTAATCTTTAGTTCTCAATCCGATATCCACCTGTTCGCGCGATTATAAATGGTGTGTATAGGCCCTTACTTAGGCCTTACAAAAGTTCAAAATAAAAATGCTAAAAAGGAAGATGCTTTATCTGTATAGGTACAGTAGCATTTATATGTGATTGTACCATGGGTAGGTTTTTAATATAACAAAATTACAAGAGAATGGTTATTTGAAAAATTTTCCTCGTACATTTTCGAATGAACTTGCCCGCATTTCGTCAAATCTAATATCACGCTGAGATGTTAATGCGTGTACTGTGTAGTGTTATCTGTTACTATATTTTTAAGGCCATTTAGCCTTTATGTGCTTTATCTGAGATCTACAGTTACATGTTTTAGGGTTCGGTTATAACTATAATTTAAATAACTATCTACTTCACCGTAAGACAAGTGGTAATCATGTTGGAAATAATCACATATGAAAATATCAGAGCTGCGAGACCCGGGATTTGAACGGGCTTCACGTGGATTCTCAAGCGAGCGCGTTACCACTGGGCTACTATTACCTTATGGGCTATCACAATATAGTATTTACGTATAGAATGGTCAGGTAAAGAAGAGTAAATAGGTCTCAAGTCGTTAGCGAGTGCTAATATTTATTACATTTTATTTGCACAAGATATTTGTTTTTAATTTTCACTTTATTTAATTAGATACTTTTTACTGATAGTATCATAATCTGGTCAATAGTTATTGATAGCGAAATAAATCATAAGGCTATTTCGCGACCTATAAGCAGATACGTGATGTGGGTATTGCATAGTTATTCAAATGAGTAGAAGCGGCTATATAGTACTTGACTTTCGTATGAATGCTCACTTAACTCAATTAGGTTAGCTACTTTCCAACATGTGGTGTTGTACCTTGTTCTTATTCTCTTTGGTTTTCACGCCGTACGCACTGACAGGTGAGTTTTAGGAGTTATAGTTGTTTTACTAAGAAACATGTATACATTTTCATTATTTTTTTATTTCATTATTGCAGTTTTTTTTAAATATTTAGCACTTTTTTTTAATTTTTTTATATCTGTATAAATATTATAAATGTGAAAGTTTGTGAGTATGTATGGATGTTTGTTACTCTTTCACGCCAGAACGGCTGAACGGTTCTGGATGAAAGGCACAGATATAGAATATAGTCTGGAATAACACATAGGCTACTTTTCATCCCGGAAAATATACGGTACCCGAGGGATAGATTTATATTTAAAAATAATATATTTTATTCATTATAATTATAAAATGTTAAAATATTTTATTTATATTGTTTTGTTACATTTAAAAATAATAAATGTTTATTAAATCCCTATTTCAATTATTCTTATATATCGAATAAGTGAACGTGCGATTGTATAATACTTTTTGCACGCAGCAAAAATGGCTTAAGGATATAAATTTTATCTTTGTACATGAAGGACTTCCCATGGAATTTCATTATAAAACAAAAAGTCAATTGAAAACCATCTCTAGTATTAGATACTAGTATTATCTATATATAAATAGGCAAAGAAAAACGGTTCAGTACCATTTTCTCCTCTGTTTGTCAATCGATTTTCTTTTTTTTTGTGCTTAGTTAGTATCTGTGGACGAGCTTAAGTGTGATCAATAACAAAATAGAAATAGTTTATCTTATATATAAAATTTCCATGTCACAATGTTTGTTACCGTACTCCTCCGAAACGGCTTTACCGATTTTTACCAAATTTTATATGCGTATTCAGTAAGTCTGAGAATCGGCTACTATCTATTTTCCATACCCCTAAGTGATAAGGATAAGGGTGGTCCTCCCAGACCCCACCCCAGGGACGAACCCGAGCGGAGCGAGGGTGAGTCGCTAGTTTTATATAAATATGGTAATGAGTATGATCGAATTTCAACTACTGAGCTAAAACACCATTGAATATAAAAAGCAATTATCTTTAAAAACTTCCATGTACTTATCATTGAAATGACATTAATTGGGTTTAGATGCGCCAGTTATTATATGTTATGACGTCGAACTTAATTCGACGTCGTTATATACATACATGGTGTTTACTGATTTTTGACCTTTGCTACAATGGCTAGCATTAATCATTGTACCTTATGCCATAAGGTAAATATAGGTTTTTTTTATTTTACATCAATGTCATTAGTAATGCTCATTGTTGTTTAGAGTACATGAGAATTTTACTAATATATTTGACTAGCATTGCCCGCGGCTCCGCCCGCGTTTACATGACCAAAAACCAAATTCTTAGGTTTTACATATTAGTATACTCTTAGATTGCAGTTTTTGTATTTTTTTTCAGAAATGAGACATTTTCCCGCGGTAAAAATTATCCTATATGTTGACCCGGATAACCATCTATCACCATACCAAATTTCATCAAAATCCCTCCAGTGGTTTTTCTGTGATGCGGTAACAGACAGACAGACAAATTTTCTAAAAACTATAGATTCGAACTCTGTATCAATAATAATGTCTATTTCAATAAGATTTTCCAAAAAAATATTTAATGTACAGATTCGACTTAGTTACAATTTTATTATATGTATAGATAAGAAGCAACTATGAAATAAATTATAGTGTTTATAATATTACTACCAACTCTCCTTTCCCTCCCCCAACGTGTGTTTACCTTGTCATGGTGCCTCATTAGCGTCCGGCAATCTAGCCGGGCGCGAAACCAAGTAACGGACTGGTTGGCGGCCCACTTCGGTGGGCAGTGTGTCATGCGGGTTGATGTGGTCTGTTTCGGAAGACCTGCCGTCGGGGCGTCGTGGTTGAGTGCGTAAGTGATCCTGCGACGCCCCATTAAGACGGGAGAGGTTTTGTTGGGTTTTAGTGGGTAGTACTGGCTTTCTAGCCATTGAGCCTACATAACTATCTGTATTTTTATAGGTGGTATGCGTAAATGCAATTCCCAATATTCCCAAAAAAAGTTCCCTCGGGTGCATCCCTAGGTACAAACTTACGTATGTATTGTAAGTATGTATATTTGTTACTTTTTCAAGTCGAAACGACTGGACGAATTTGGATGAAATTTAGAACACATAAATAATAAAATGGCAGATGTCATATACTTTCTTTCTATATACAGGATTTCATTAGATCGTGAACAGGTATTTAATATAATATTTGAAGAGCATAATATTAAAAAAATACTCTCTAATTTGCTATGTCGTGTTATTTCGTATTAGAATTTCACTTAGGAGTCAACAAATTGTAATTTTTATTTTGGACTTCATTTTGTATATGAAATTTATATTGAAATACATACATTGTTTCGGACGACCAGAACCAGGGTATGTCTAGTACCCGGAGGTCGACCTGGGACAATCTCCCAGACGTTCTTGGCGTACACGGCAGTATGTCCGTTCGCTGGTAATGTACGCCACCACGCACCCCTGAATGCGTAGCTTGGGTCCCGATCCACTAGGGTTTCTTCGTTGACAGGAGACTATACTTAGAGGCGATGAAATAAAAACACAATTTTTTCCTTTTTTCTCTCTTGGTTTCGGTTCTTCCTTTTCCTTTTAGTTGTTGCCTCTTCGGTGGCTGTCTTGCGACTGACTCGAATCGAGAAATGGCTCGCCTTTTATTTGGCCCGTTAATACCTTACAGAGAGCCGCGTACTTTGAGCTCATTTTTCGAGTAAAATTTCCCTAAACCGAAACCTTGAGAGTTCTTTTATTTTATGTTTTCAGTAAAACACCTTACACATATTTATTTATTTACATGCCTTACATACTATTATACAATATTAAAACATAATATTCAATATATAATAATTAATTAAAAAAGTCTTAAAACAAAAATATCTAAATTTCTAGGTTGCTACATTTTTACTATACATTTTCCCTTATAACTTTTGAACGGATAGTCCTATCGACCTAATTCTTGTTTTATTATAAGTTTTATAATAAAATCTATTATTTAAAACATAAACTATTATGCTATTGCAAGAAACAAAAAATCTCATTTTCAAGTTACGTAATTATATGCTAACATTTTACTTACGTACCTATTCCTTTCAAATTAATGTTAAATAGTCTTATATGATTCAAATAAGCAAAAAATACTCTAAACTAACCTTATTACACTAATTAGAACTTATTTTAACATAATAAATCTAATAAGAATGAGATTTCATATTTACAACAATTATTCATAATACGCTAAAATGACATTGTCCCTATATTAATACACACGTTACTCGAAGATAGGTTTTCCGTCGCCGACATTCTCCCCCTCGTGCTTTGCACCAACTCCTGGACTCGGCGACGCTCCCGGCACCAACAGCACCACTCTCGAACTGGGCCTCCGTAGGACACCTCCTCTGGTCTCGACGTCGACGACTCTGGTCCGCCCGTCTGGTCCAGGATACACATGCAGGATTCTTCCGCGTGGCCAGATGCATCTTGGTAGGCTGTGATCGACGATCAGTACGATGTCTCCGACTTGCAAATCTGTGGCGCTGACTCTTCCTTTGGTCTTCCTTGGTAGTAGAGTGGGCAAATACTCTCTCAGCCAACGTTGCCAGAAGTGATCGGCAAGTCGCTGCGTAGCCTTCCAGGTGTGTCTGCCCACAAGCTCGTTGTCCTCGAAGCTGCCGATTCTTGCTGCGCCACATGATCGCCCGATGAGAAAGTGGTTCGGTGTAAGTGCTTCTTCTTCAGGGTTCTCGGAGAGGTGGGTGAGGGGCCGAGAGTTGACTATGTGCTCGGCCTCTAACAGGAGGGTATGAAGTACCTCCTCTCGTGGTTGCCTTTTGTTGAGCGTGGCGTCCAGTGCGGTTTTAATGGATCGCACCAGACGCTCCCATGCACCTCCCATGTTTGGTGCACCAGGAGGTATGAACTTCCACTGCACACCGATCTTCTCCGCTTCCGAGATAAGGTCTTCTTGCTTCATGGTGTCTAGTGCTTCTTTGAGTTCTTTGTTGGCGCCAACGAAGTTAGTGCCATTGTCGGTGTAGATTATCTTTGGCATTCCCCTTCTCGCGGCGAATCGTCGTAGTGCCATGATCATGCTGTCAGTGGAGAGTGAAGGAGTGAGCTCAATGTGTACAGCTCGTGTTGTTAAGCATGTGAATAGAGCACCCCATCTCTTCTCATGGCGTCTTGCTACGGTGATCGTCATAGGGCCGAAGTAATCTATTCCCGTGCACGTAAATGGAGGGTTTCCGTGCATCAGCCTCTCAGCAGGTAAGTTGCCCACTGGTAGTTCTTGAGGTCTTGCCTTTCTTGTTTTGCACCACTGGCATTGATGTTGAATGGTCTTGATCGCTGACCTCAGTCCTAGCACCCAGAAGCGTTGTCTTACTTCGTTCATTACGGTCGCGTGATTCCCGTGATTGAAGCGGCAGTGAAATTCTTCTATGATGAGAAGTGTTGTCTTGTCCTTGCTGTCGAGTACGATGGGTCGTTTGTAGTCTCTGGTAACCCCTCGTATCGCGTCGATTCTTCCTTTCAGTCGCAGGAGACCTTCTTCTAGCACTACGTCGAGCCTTTTCAACTTGCTGCTGCCCTCTAATTGTTTTCCTTGCTGTAGGCACCTGATGTCCTCTTTGAAGCATTTCTCTTGACTTCTTCTTAACAACAGCGTTTCAGCTTGCTCTAGTAGACTTGTTTCCAATGGTATGTATTTCCTTTATGACGTTTTTGAAGACAGATGTCGCTTCTCAACAATTTTCTTATTCCTTTTTGTAGTTTTCCAGGTAGGATCTTCTTTGCTGGCGTGGACCTTTTCCTTTCTTCTGCAGAGTTGTATGAACTGCAGTACTCTTGCTGTAGCTCGCCAAAGTCTTTTCCACGACGAGAACTTTTCGGGATCTGGTGATGGATAGGAGCTGCCTGCAGTCGCTACGATGTCCGCTGCCTTTTCTTCGCCAGTGGTTTCTTTCTTGAATGTTCTTGCCGCAGG